CCAGTTGTGAGTTATTTTGATTGGTCAACCAATTAGTCCAGGGAGGTGTAAGGGGAGGTTAAAAAGAAGCCTGGATAGAGTTATTAGGTAGGTCTCCAGTGTAGGAAGGCAAGACAACAACATTGCCTACCAAATATTTGTTGTTGTTAACTGCCCTTGAGACAATCTCGACCCATGATGACTCTGTGGATGAGATCTCTCCAAGACTCCCTGTCCTCCACTGCTCTTCTCCGTCCCTGCAATCTCATACCCATGACCTCCCTAATAGAGTCCATCCATCTTGCAGGTGGCCTTCCTCTCTTTCTACTTCCCTCCACCTTCCCCAGCATTATTGATTTTTCCAATGAGCTGTGCCTTCTCCTAATGTATCCGAAGTATGGCAGCATCAGTTTTGTCATCTTGGCTTCCAGGGCAGTGGCATCCTTGGGGGGCACGGGCCACACCGGTAAACACTCCAGAAGGGGAGGTGACACCTGGTTGGCCCCCTGCTCCATGGACCTGCGTAGGTGTCCTTCAGGGCCCCGTGGGTGCTGCTCAGCCCTCAGGGGGGGTCTCCAGGCTTCAGAGGGGGACTCCAGCCCAGGTGGGTGGCAGGCGGCCATTTCCACAGCCCGCACGGCACTTCCCCTGCCCATGCGGCTATTTCTCTAGCCCACGTAGGTGGTTCCCTGACCTGCGCAGTGCTTCCCCCAGATCGCACGGCCATTTCCCCAGCCCAGGCAGGCAGCCATTTCCCCAGCCCAGACGTCGTCCCCACCAGTAGTCCTCCCCCACCAGGTGAAACCTGGTGCAGGATCCCCACTGTTCCATGGAGATTTCTGGCTTGAACTGCTCTAGCTCCCACTTGTCTGTCTTTTTGGCTGTCCACAAGATCCTCAGCACTAGTTTCCAACATCATATCTTGAATGAATTGATTTTCTTCCTATCTTGTTTCTTAATTGTCCAGCTCTCACATCCATAGATGGTAACAGGGAATATAATGGCTTGTATGATTCTAACTTTTGTGCTCAACTGTATATCTTTGCATATATATATATATATATTCTTTCACAGCTGCCCTCCCCATTCTTAATCTTTTTTATTTATTTATTTATTTCCTGGCTGCAATCCTTGTTGCTATCTATGTTTGATCCCAGGTATGAGAATTTTTTTTACTATTTCTATTTCGTCATTGTCTAGGTTGAAAGTGTAAATTCTCCATGATCATTGTTTTATGTTCAACAGTAAGTCTGCCTTTGCACTTTCTTCATTGGTCTTCTTTAGTAGTTGTTCCAGACCTTTGTGGTTTTCTGCTAGTATTATGGTGTCATTTGCATATCATATTAGATTGCTAATATTCCTTCCTCCTATTTTTACTCCTCCTTCTTCTGTGTCCAAGCCTGCTTTTCTTACAATATGTTCTGCATACAAGTTGAACAGGTAGGGTGATAAGATGCAGCCTTGTCTAGCCCCTTTGCCAATTGGGAACCATTCCAAATATGTTTGTGGGTAATTCCTATGTCAGCTTCAGAAGCCCCTATGAACCAGACCACCAACTGTTACAGACAAATTTTCCAACTGAGCTCAATAAGTAAATGAGACAAACATTACAGCAGGGCTAGGCAACCTTTCTGAGCCGGGGGCCGGTCCCCCGAAGTTGTCCATTCCAGCCGGGCGAGGGGGGGTGAATGGCGGCGCGCGCGCTCATGCGCATGTGCAACCCCCGCCGCCATGCGCAACCTCCCCACGCGCGCTGCCGCCGCTGCTGTGCACACTGCTGCCGCCGCCTCTCCACATGTCGTGGGCCCCATTTTGTTTTCCAAAATGGCGGCCATGCCGCGTTTGCGCATGCACAGGAGTACTGCTCTTGCACAAACAAGTCACAGCTGCCATTTTGGAAAACAGAATGGTGGCCACCACTCGCAACCACCATTTTGTTTTCCAAAATGGTGGCTGTGACTCATTTGTCGCCACTCGTGACCGCCATTTTGTTTTCCAAAATGGCAGCTGCAACTCGTTTGCGCATGCGCAGTACTCCTGCACATGCGCAAATGCGTAGCGGCCACCATTTTGGAAAACAAAATGGCAGTTGTGGCACATGCGGCCGCATGGCGACCAAAACACGCGGTGGTGGTGGTGTGTGGAGGCGGCGGCAGCAGCGGCAGGGCTCTACCTGGGCCAGTAAGCGGGAGGCCCTGGGCCGGAACCAGCCCACGGGCCGTAGGTTGCCGGCCCCTACCTAACAGGCATACGCACTTGTGTATCAGGAATACGGAGACCCTGAAGAAAGATTAACTTCTATTAGTTGTCCTCAGATCCCTCCCTTCAGATCTCTGAAATGCATAACCTGTTTAAATCATCAGAATTACACACTGATTTACAGTGCATGGATAATTCAATTTGTGTGGCTTAAAGTCACTGGATGCTCATGAGATCAAGTTGGAAGGCCTATTGCAGCTATGATGGCTGTGTGTGACCAAAAATTTTGTGATTTGGGAAATAATCAGCACTACATCCTGAAATGTGAGTCATGAGAAGGAAATGTCCACATTCTTCTTTGAAACTGCATCCCACAATAAAGCCAAGATGACATTTTAATCCATCACCAATTATCACCAATGCAAGAACTTTGCGTGGATAATCAGGAGAGCCTTTCTGCATCATTTTGTAATTCATAACACAGTTCACAGATTCCAAACAAGTCATCTATCAGACAAACAAACAAGTAATGTACCATCTTTTGACCTTGATCCTGAAGAGATTGCTGATGGCTTTTGGTATTAAAGTAGATCTGTCAGGCTGCCTATTTTTTACAATCCCAGCTGACAAGTTCTTATGATCCTAGTTAATAAAGTTACTGTCAGTATATTTCAATTTTAGACTTATCAAGCAGATTTCATGTACATCTTAAATATAATTACTGGTTTACTTAATTACTTAAATATATTATTGATTTTACTGATTATATATGTTCTGGTCTGTGACCAAAATAAATCTTATGATAAAGTAGTGAGAGCCAGTGTGGTGTGATGGTTTCAGTTGACTACAACTCTAGAGACCAAGATTTAATTTCTATCTCAGCCATGGAAACCCACTGGGTGACACACATTCTCAGTCCTAGAAACTCCATCATAGGGTCTCCTTCTGGTCACCATAAGTCAGAAATGACTTGAAGGCGTACAACAACTAAGTGATGGGTGGCTGTCACCCCATCACTAAAACTCTAGGAGCCCAGAGTTTGAATAACCACTCAGGCATGAAAACCTACTGGGTGACCTTGGGCAAGTCAATTCTCTCAGCCTCAGAGAAAGGAATAGTAAACTTCTAAAATCTTCCCAACTAAACCATAAGATAGGGTCCCTGCAAGTTGGAGTGTGCAAGTTGGAGTTGATAACAACAACAGCAAAGTGATGGCAAACATATGCCCCTTCAGATATTGAACTATTACTCTCAGCATTTCTCACCACTTGCTCTGCTGGCCAGGACCAATGGAACTGCTCTCCAACATCTGGAGGGTCTTGTGTTCTCCACCACTGCATCAATGTATTGGGTTGCTGTGTAAGTTTGCACTGACACAGTTTTCTCTAGGGCTGATTTAGCAGCAGGTGAGAAACCAAGTGCTGCAGAAGAACTGGAGGCCTAGCTGGATCCCTCTCCCTCACACTATTAAACAAATGATGGTTTACACAGGAGATTTGTCATCATAGATCTAAAACAGTAGTAGGGATGATTCCAGGAGAGAAGTAGACTAAGGAGATTATCACACTAGGGCCAATCCCACAATTGCACTATTGGAAGGTAATGGAAGCATATAGCGCTGCAGCCATCTATAGTTCTGCACAGTCACGCAATTGCACAATAACAACAAAATAAAAACAGTACAAAAAAACAGTCACATTCCACATATGCTTATCACACGGGGGAAATCCCATGCGGAAACGGGGGTTTAAAGTAGGAAAAAACCACAAAAGCGGATGTTTTTTCAGACGATGTTGCTATTAAAAGGAGGTTAAACTGGGGTTAATTCGAACGGAACCCCCTCATTGACTGCTTCGTTTTACTTTTGGGTTTTTCTGAAAGTAAAAAGAAGCAGTTTCCATTCAGATTAACCCCATTTAAACATCACTTTCACTTTTCACACTGGGGAATCCCATTAATAAATTGCTTCCGCTTTTTTTTTCTACTTAAAACAGGGTTTCTGCACGGGACTCCCCATGTGATAAACTCTATACAAAAGCTGGTCACATTGCTCTATCGTTAGTATATCATCATTGGATGTTTTGCGCATGCATCATTATCAGGCTACTGCGCCTATCTGAAAAATATGGTTCAGTTCCAAACAGAACAAAATTAAAATTCTATATTTAACAACATGATATATATCCTATTCAAATAAAATAGTCCACTATATGTCAAAATAAGATAGAAATCTACTCCGAAAATGATCCTAGCAATGAGAGTAAATTGCCTGTGTTGAAGTGCAGTCTGGGTAAAGCTCCCCAATAGTGGGAATGCATCGCTATTAGTTTCCACACATTCGCAATAGTGCAAATGAAGTGCTGTTGGCAAACCATTCACGGGGATTCCCCATTAATAAGAAATTACGGGACAATTCCACATTATTCATAGGAGAAAAATTAGATGAGTATGACATCGTGTGAAAATCGTTGCACAATCGCACTATAATGATGGGAGCATTCCGTTTTTCTCCTGTTTTATAACCCCATGTGATAATCTCCATAATCTTTCTAAATAGTTATCTGATTATCCCTTTTTCCTACCACACACATCTGGCCAGAAAAGCAGAATGGATACATGTGTCACACAGTAAATTCTTAAACACAATCCCTCTTTATTTTAAAAACTGCAGGGGAATGTTGATGTTGTTGTTGTATGCCTCCAAGTCATTCCCAAATTATAGCGACCCTATCATAGGGTTTTCTTGGCAAGACTTGGTCAAAGGAGGTTTGCCCTTGCCTTCGCCTGAGGCTAAGAGAATGTGACCCACTCAGTGGGCTTCATGGCTGGGCTGGGAATCGAACCCTGATCTCCAGAGTCATGGTTCAGCACTCAAACCACTATGCCATGCTGGCTCTCCTCATTTTTTTTCTAGGACTGTGTGTTAAGTGTGTTTAGGAGGATCACAAACAGTACTCCCGACATTAAATGGGAGCATTCCTTGGAGCTGCAGAGGAATAACATGGTGTCTTCAATAAGTTATTTATTTATTTTTATTTGAGTGGAGAGGGCAGCCTTGAAAAGAAAGCCTTATGTTTGCTTTGCTGCGAAGTCATACAAATTCAAGGAGTGATACTAGTATAGGAAGTGTACTTGGGAGGGCCCATACTTCCTGAAGGGCTTATTGAGGTTACAGCCTTGCATCACTCAGTAAAAGTAACAGAAGTTTCAGCATGGGAAGCCTCAGATCGAGTCTCACACTGCTCTGAGCAGTGTGTTTAACTGTTTAATAGAGAACACAGAACTCCATCCATTCTGGCCATTTTATGAGCTGTATAAGTATGGCTGACAGAGTTAAAACTGGAGAGTGCTCTTGTACCTTTAATGGTTGTGTAGAAGAAGGAATATCAGCAGGTGTTGCTTACTACCTTGTTATGGGATAGGCAACATCTGCTGAAATTTTCACTTCTACACAACTATTAAAGTACAGGAGCGAATTCTAGTTTTCAGCCTGGCAACCCTAATACTAAGATAAGTGCAAACATTTTAACCCAATGATCTTACACAGAGTAATGCTACTTTGAAGATGCCACAATGCTTAACCATGTGCTCCTTTTGTGCAGCAGCGAGCAGCATCACAAAGCACCTTCCAAAAGTAATGTTCAAAATGCTGGTAGTGAGAGCTAATGTGGTGTAGTGATTTGAGTACTGGACTACGACTCTGGAGACCAAGGCATTTCCTCGCTCGGCCATGAAAACCACTGGGTGACCTTGGGCAAGTCACATGTTCTCAGCCTCAGGGAAAGGCAATGGCAAACCTCCTCTGAACAGATGTTGCCAAGAAAGCTCTGTGATAGGTTTACCTTCGGGTCACCATTAGTTGGAAATGACTTGAAGGCACACAACAACAGCAACAACAATACAAATCCTCAAAAATCTGACTGTTTCTGAGGCCGTAAGTTGATCAAAAGGGGAGACATGTAAAAGGGGCAAGGGTAAAAGAAAAAAAATCTCTGCGGGATACAGTTTTCTAAATCCCAAAGTACAAAATCACATTAATCAGGACAAAACAAGTGAAGCAGTAATTTCCAATTTATTAGTTAACATTCTTGAAAGAAGAGGTGTCCTAGGCAAGTAGGCATACCCCAACACTTGACACCACATGGTTTTATTCCCTTTCTCTGGCAGTATTTTTCTACCCCCATAACATTATTGGTTAGTTAAGACATATGATCAATTTTAAGACCACCCTTTTCATGTATGTAAAAGCCTAACCCACAACATATTTCTTCATACAGCTCATGACCATTTAAATTAGGGATAATTCATTTGGGGGCAGGTTGCACATATTAATGAGGTTCATTGCACAGACTCAGTCTTGTGTTTGGGTAATTCCTTGTTACCTCTAGAAAGAAACGCTGTCCTTGCAGTTAATTTGGAATGTAACAAATCCTTCCATAGCTTAACTCCTATCTCAAAGTCTTTTAGTTTTATCTACAAACTTTTAGTTTCAAAAATTCCTTTCTGCTCAGATACATTTTGATCTTAAGGCTGACCTTCTAGACTCCTATTGCTTTCTTTTGGATCATTAATTTGCAAGGACCGTTTTCTAGGACATTTTCTGTCTGAGAATTACTTTGTAATTTGTAAATCTTATCATCCCTAAAGTTAAGAGAAAAAACTCTTGAAGTCACACTGAGTTTAGCCCTTTTAATTTCAATTGAGTATATAGCATATAAGTGGTTGTTTATTAACTATATATGTTATCTAATTGTTATATGCAAATATATAGGTTTATATATTTATTTACCTGCCTTTCAACACTATTAGCTTCTAACCCTTTTTTATATGACTTTTGATTAGCCTTCTTATGTTTAACTCAAATTTAGTTCTCTCATTGTCATAGCTAAAAAATAACCAAAATGTTAATAAAAGAGCAGCGAATTCCAGCTTTAAAGGCATATTTGACTTTTTACAGAACAAAAATAAATTAAGCTTCAACCAAGTGTATATATATATATATATAAAAAAAAAACTTGCACTGAGTGATTTCTGGGAGTATTTTCTGATCTTATATGGGGAGTGGGAATGGGTCACTCTCTAGGTGCTGTCAAACTGCAACTCCTAGCACTTCTCACCATTGGCTATGCTGGCTGGGGCTGCTGAGACTTGCAGTCCAACTGTACCTGGATCACCCCACTTTGTCTTCCCCAGCATAATCAATGAAATATGATAATTAATGGCTGCCATCAATTTAGGTTAAAAAGATAAGGTTTAAAAGGCAGGCGTGATGTTGATGATGATGAAACCTATTTATGCCCTGACGTTTCTCCAAAACTGGGACTTGAGAAAGCTTACAAATTAAAAGCGAGCCAATGTTGCATAATGGTTTGGGTGTTGGACTCCAGCTCTGAAGACCTGAGTTCGATTCTCACCTCAGCCATGGAAACTTACTGGATGACCTTGGGCAAGTCACATACTCTCAGCCTCAGATGGTGATGGCAAACCTTCTCTGAAGAAACTTGCCAAGAAAATCCAGTGAAAGGTTAGCCTTAGGGTCATCATAAGTCAGAAACAACTTGAAAGCACACAACAACAACAACACAAATTAAAAGCAGTACAATATGGCTAAAAATGTACAAAACACCAACATTAGAAGTACTATTCACAATATTAAAAACAATTTAAAATTTACAACTAAAAATCATGAAAAGCTGTTAAATAACAGTACAATTATAACCACACTGCACCCTCTTAAAAGCCCCTTCCTTAAAAACCTTCAGTGCTAAAAGCCTATTGGAATAAAAAAAAGCATCACTGGGATCTTGTATGGTCTTTCACACAACATAAATTTGTATGCACCTAACTAAATAACTAACAGAACTGCTAGGAAACCCAGTTGCTGAACTGGGAAAATGTGAACTAGGACTCTAGGAGGCCAGGGTTCAAATTTCTGCTTGGCTATGGAAACTAACTGGTAGCCTTAGGCAAATCACACTCTCTCAGCTTTAGAGGAAGGCAATGGCAAGCCCACCACCCCCCGAACAAATCCTGCCAGGAAAACCCCATGATAGAGTCATGTTAGGGTTGTCATAAGTAAGTAACAACCTGAAGACACACCATCACCAAAAAAATGTTCACAATATGAAGCAAATATTGTTGCCTTTATTGATCTGATGGCAGCATGTGACACAATCTTTAAATGTTTAGTGGGGCAGAAACTGGAAAAAAATTGCTATTTATTATTACTACAACAGTGCAGCTTAAAGTGGATCTGACTTTGATTTTACCACCTCAAATAGAAACAAGTTTCAGAATCAAGCAAGACAGTACACTGGCAAATATCTTATTTCATTGTCACCACAATGATATAGTAAAGAATCTAGATCAGGGTGGGCAACTATCCAAGTCTGTTAGGTGCATAAACCCCTTGTTGGCCACACAACCTGCCTTCAGCCCCTAACTAGCAATAGTTAGCAATAACCCATGGTCAGCGCTCAAGCAGGAGTCACCTTCAAGTTCAGTTAGCTTTGGAACATCCAATAAAGAGGAGTGCTATCTGCCCTGTTGCCTCAGGTAGCAAAATATCTTAGGCTGCCCTTGCTTCTGAGATAAAAGACTCTTTGCTGTGAGGACTCTGGTGGAATGAGCCCTGCTTAGGAGAACAGCAAATTTATAATCTGCACCTATGCATGCTTCAGTCAGAAGCATAGCTCATTTTACTTCCGGTGGCACTTGAGTGTAGATGCTTTCAAACCTCCTGTCAATTTACAATGCCCCAATGATTTTCATAGGGTTTTCTTAGGCAAGGTATAGCCCAGGTCTGCACAACATATGGCCCGGGGGCCGCATGCGGCCTGCGAAAAGATTTTGGGTGGCCCATGAAGATGTGAAATTACTTCAAGGCTCCTCTACCATTTGGCCTTTTCTTGAGGAGAGTGCCAAGCAGAGGAGGAGGACGAAGGGCAAATGCTCACCTTGCAAGGTTCCTGCACTACCTGGCTTTTCTTAAGGAGAAGGATGAATGAAAAAGGAGGATGGGCAAACACAGCCTGCAAGGCACCTCCAGTGCTTGGCTTTCAGAAGGAGGAAGAGGAAGAGGCTTGCCCCTCAAGACTGCTCTGCTGCCTGGCTTTCTCCTGAGAGAAAGGCCAGGTGGTGGTGGAGAAGGACAGGTGAATACTCACCCTGTAAGGCTCCTTTGTTAACTTGGTTTTCTCCTGAGGAGAAGGGTGGATGGTGGAGGAGGAAGAGGATGGACCAGTGCTCACCCTGCAATGTTCCTCCTTTGCCCGGCCTTCTCCCAAGGATAAATCTGGGTGATGGAGGAGAAGGAGAAGGACAAGTATGGCACCTCTGCTGCTCACCTTTCTCCTGAGGGCTGGGCAGAGGAGGAGGAGGAGGAGGAGGAGGAGGAGGAGGATTTAACTGATGACGTGGACAAGCTGCTCGGAATGGTGAGGAAGACGACTTGCCCCCTCGATCCATGTCCATCTTGGCTGGTCGTCCGGGGGGGGGACGCGTTGAAGGTGTTCCTTCGGGACACAATCAACGCGTCATTCAGGAAAGGTATTGTGCCATCTTGTTTAAAGGAGGCGGCGATTAGGCCACTCCTGAAAAAGCCTTCCCTGGATCCCCTGGATAG